TGCACAATATCATGGATTCTGTCTGTGCGCCAAACAATGACGAATCAGCCACAAATGACAAATATAATATTATCGCCGCTTCAGCAACAATACTGTCATCAATTGCAGCCATTTTCGTACCTTTTTCACGCTCCTTTTTCTTGCGACTAACAATCCCCGCTCATCTAACTACGCGTTCACCATACTTCCTATCGGAATTTATTGCCAACAGTAATCAAATATAATCAATTATGTGCCACACAATTCAATTGCTGCTTCTGTAGAAGGGACTGGCCAAAACAAGAACAAAAAACGCATTTTAATTGATGACTTGCTTTATACGCAGGCCACAGTGTAGTGAGTGTGCCAAAAGCGCATGTAAAAAGAGCCGCAAATAAATGTTATTTCGGTGAACATTTCATAATTTAAATTATGCGCTAAAGTTCACTTAATTGCTGTCAGCCGAATTTATTTTCGCCCAGCATGCGTAATTGTGGTCAAAGCAATAATGTTAATGGTTACTCATACGCCATTGCAACATGAAGTACTTTCACTATTTTATTGAGTTGTGGCTGCGGCACTGATTGAATTTGTAGTTATTGTTTTAAAGTGAAAATAATTATTATTATCATTCATCGCATAACAACTTTCGTGGGGCTTGCGTAAAGCAGTTAAATTTAATTTTTCCCATAATATTAATAGAATTATGTGTTCAATTTGCTTTTATTGGTATTATTAAATTGACGTTATAAATGTTGTGTTTTATGGCGCAATCGAAGCACGCCAAATATGAATATTAACGAGAACGTTCGAATTTTTTTAGTTTTTCACTTCTATTGTACAAACAGAGTGCTCGAACTTATATTTGATTGTACAGATTGAATAAATTCGACATTTTACTAACTGTTTGAAATGGTTAGAGATGTCTTGAAAAGTTCAATTCAATTAGTTTCTAACTATAATTCGCTTTAAATCAAACTAATCGCAGAAGATTTGGACCCAAAATTACCTTTGATGTACCATAGGAAATAAATTTTGATGAACACGGTGTCCATTTCACACGTTTTAGCGGCGTTAATGAAAGAAGTCGCCGTATTTAGGGAACAGAAAATATATGTGCATGATCAAAAAGTTAGTATTTGGATAAACATTTTTTAAGTTAAACGGTACAGTCGAAGGAAATCGACATCGATGAATATTGGTGCATGACAACCCAATGCAAAAACGTAAAAGAAGTCGTGACGGTTGCTGCTTTCAACTACATGACGTCCTATGTTTTACTGAAAAACAAATTATTCTCTTTCTAAAAGAAAAATTCTTTGTCATCTGTTATTAAAAATTCGATTGATCTTCAGGTTTGTCTCCCCCAATATGTTTTACGTGTAGTTATTTGCCATTAAACCAGAGCAATTGAAGTTCTTTAAATAAAAATCATTACCGAATAAAACCTATAGATGCCCGAAAATGGTTATGAAAGTTACTGTGAAAAGTTCTTATTTTGGGTGGGTAATAGTGTTGTTTATTTGATTAATGTGGTAACCACAATATAATCCAAGTAAATTTAATAAAAGAAAAAATAACACACCTGTAAATTCGAGTGACATTTTGTATAAAGTTTTACTTTTACATACGAATATCCTATAAGTAATTTTCTAATTGTTATTGATTGTACACCCACAGACACATCCATAAAAATATATAAAATGTATGCACCCTATTATTAGGCAATTATAAGTAATCGACTGTAATTATACCCATGAGGCAAGTAGGGGGTTATTCACATACGAATACATAGGCGCATACAAATGTGCTTGCATGTGTGTCAATAAAAAATTCATAATTTTATATAAAAATCAGTAAGCTGGTATGTTGTGTATCCAAAATACACTTACTTACACTAAGACCGAAATGTGTGCTCATTTTCCCTATAATTTGATTTTAATTTATTTGCATGCCTTTAGGACTTTTGTGGTGGCGAATTTCACGGTCATTTGAACACCCTCACAAAGCGATAAACATTTAATAGACACATTTTTGAAGCATTTTCATTTCTAATAAAAGAATGGTATGTGACCATATATATATATTTTTATATGCTTACATAGATATGTTTTTCAAAATGAAGAAAATTTCGTTTAATAATATTGTTATATTCACAACAGTACTTTAAATTTGAATTGCTGATTGCTGTAAGTGTTGCGTTTTGTTTAAAAATAGTTGTAGTTTTGTTAAAAAACAGTGTACAGACAATTGTCCCATTCACAAAATACCATTAATTGAAAAAAACAAAGCGTCATAAATCAGTTATCAATTTAAGTACAAAAATGATATTTAGCAGAAAGGGTAATAGATTTAGAAATATCATATTATGGCTTGAAAATAGATTTAATCGGAAATTACGCCTTCCTGTAATTTTTGTTGTAGCGATAGATAACATCGCCCAAATAATTTTGAGGATAGCTCCTGATTTAACAGCCTTGGCCAGATAAAAATTAGCGTTCCGGTTACATAAACTCGATAGTCGAATGACACCTTCCTCTTATTTGACGGATACATCTGAGATCGGAACAGTAACATCTTAAGAAAACTGTAGAAATAGTACCTTTCACATAGGATACCTTTCATCTGAAACTAATAGAATTCGAATCGGTTCGAACTAGTGGCCACTTGGTAAGTTTGGCCCACTTAACATGACGTATGTCCAAAAATTAGTAAAATTGATCTACATGTCCTAGATCCCATATAACGAATATATTGATATAAAAGGCTCCTATCGAATTTATTCCGTATTTATGGACATTAAAGAGACCCACTACCAAGGTGTTCGAACTACAATGGATTTTGCAATCGGACTGGTACTGCTCTATTCGGGTGTTGTGTTAAAGGATTAAATTATAAGTTTTATAACAAAATAAGTTTTATGATGACTTTTTAATTCACTTAAATAAAAATGTACGTTGCTAATGTTGATAATATATAAAAATTGTTTTATTTTAACCTCAAAGTACTGCTCTCAAAAATCTCCTGCTAATGGAAACCAGCTGAAACTTAAATAATTTGTCAAAAAAATTATATTTGTACAACCAGACCCTTTCCTTTGTTTGCCTTTGTTTTTGTGTAGCTTTGTAATGCGCGTACTGTTTGTTTTAACACAAAAGCATTTATTTATTTTGCTAAACAAAAGAAATTTTGTACGCAATTTGTTCTCACGTGTTCCTGGCTTGGCATTGGCCTCGGCCTCCTTTTTTCTATTATAATGAAGCACATTACGGTACATATTTCATTGTAGTAGTCGTATCGTGCGGATTTTACACCTGAAACGCTTCTACACAAAATTTACAATTTGCCACCAGCACACACACCTGCTACTTTAAAACCTTTCCGGAACTCTATTCAGTTTCCAGTTTTAAATTTTTGTCTTATTCTCGCAATCATAATTTAATGATACCCTTTGTTTGGTGTCAAAATATAAATTCGCAGTATATGTGCTAATGATATTTTTATAGCTAAAAAGTTAATGCTTGTTCATATGGGATATGTAAGTGCGCATAATATGCTTGTTCGTGTGTGGATGCGTAAGCCAGTGATGGCAAAATGTACGACTATTAACCTTCGTTGTTTTTGCTACTCTTGCAGAACATTGCCAACTCGAGTACATTCATATAATTTTATAACTCTCTTTTATCTACAGCAACTTGCATTGCTTGTCGTACATAATGAAGCAATTTGTTGGACAAGGTGGAGCAGAAATGTGGAAGTTATTGCAAATAAAAAACTTTAAGGCAATGTTGTTTGGAATTTATAGGCATTGGCAATATGTCGGAAATAATCATATTATACTTAAAGTCTATCTCGCAAAACTGAGTAAAGAGAAGTAGATATTTCAGGAGTTTCCGTGAAACTAGATGAGTGTGAGGTATTTATGTTTTTTTCACGATACCGAATGACTTCTCACAGCAAAATATAAGTAAAAGTAATCAAAAAATTTATTGCGGTCATCTTGTGTTGTATTTTTAGATTAGTTTGATTATTTTTCTATCGTGAAATATATATGTTTCCACTTAAATAACACTTTGGAAACTCTTAAGTAATTATAATAAAATTATTAACATATTAGCTAACAGATAATTTGAACGAAATTGTCCATTATTCACCATAGAAAATAATAATAATTATTAATACCAAAAGGCGAATAATTGAATATTATCATAGTAACTAAGAATAACAAGTAATAATAAGTAGTCAAATATTGTTATTTTTTAATTATTTAATCAAAAGTTGTTAGTTTTTAATTATTTAATTAAAAATTGTTATTTTTTAATTATTTATATTTGTAACTAATAAGTAATAATTAATAGTATTAATTCTTAATAATGAGATGTAATTAAAGTAATCATTATAATTATTAAACTCAAGTAATCGTTTGTGTTATTAATCGAAGTTAAAATGTAATGACGCGGTTACTACTTCTTTTCATACATGCATATTTATAAAGCAAATGGTTGTAGGCATGCACAATTTAGAAAGATTATATAATTATGCGATCACCTGTACTGTATTATGTGCTTTACTTAGAATACGTAGGGATGTGTTCGATATGTTATTGTTTTGTCATGAGTGATCGACGTTGTAATATGTCTACAATTGCCGAAGATTTATGAACTTGTTAAGAAATTGTTTTTTCAAATAAAATTATATAAATTCAAACTTTTGAGCATTTACAAGTATCAACCAAAATAATGATTTTTACCTATTTATGTACTGCGACAAAAATAATTATATAATAATTGGAAATATAAGAAAATGAGTAAGCAAAATCTTAAATAAAAAACAGTCAGTAACCAAGCTTAACTATTGTATAAAACTTGGTAAACGAAAGAAAATAACAGAAAAATATTATTCTAAAAAAAAGTTAGTTAACAAAGAACTTGAAACCAACAACAACAGCAACAACAACAACACAATTAACAACGTTGCTGCTAATGACGACGACGACGCAGGCGAATGGTAACGGTACTTACTTCAATACCTTCCTGTTTGTGGTTGTAGTATGTACAGTGCAATAATTGTTGTTGTTGGCATACAAATTGTTGTGCAATATGTAGAGTTGAGTTGTTGTAGTTGTTTTTTTACACAGCAGTATATGCGAGTATTTAGAAGTTGACATACATACATATATTGTTTTGGTAATCATACACAAGCCAGCGCGTTTAATGTTGCAACAGTTGCAGTTGTTGTAATTGATATTATTGTGAAATTGTTGTAGTATTTTGTTAATTGGTGGAGAATATATTTTTACAAGTGTATGCGTTTAAATAAGTTTAATTATTTCATTTAATAAATTTTTTAAGTATTTTCATAATTATTTATTAATTTTTTATACACATATTTTAAAGTTGTGGCATTTTAATTAATATTTAATGGTTTATTGGGAAAGGTGTGTAGAAAGGAATTGTGTTGAGCAATTTGTGGTTGTTTTCATTTGAAAATTGGTGGTTGTTTATATTTTTGTACAAACAGTTATAAAAAATTAATATATTTAGTTAATTGCATTTTTTATATAAAAAAAAGTGTGTGTAATTTGTATTATTTAATTTTTTTTTATAGAAATTAGGCGTTGCAACATAGTAGTGGCGTGAGGTAAACACAGGTCATTCGGGAAGTTGGTGTGAGTGGGAGGACAGAGACAGAGAGAAAGAGAGAAAGAAGAAGAGTATGGTATAGTTATAAATATTGTAGTTAGCTATGTTTTTTAATATTGAGTTTTGTATAATTATAAGCTATTGCAATTTTTTAATACTTTTTTTTAATTTCTTTTCTGTTTTGTGCCACTACACTATTCAAGCAAAATTTAATACGAAATTTGTTGCAACAAATGTTAATTAATAGTTTTTATACAAAAAAAAATATAATAAAGTTATGATAAGCCTCGCTACGACTGGCAACATCACATTCGCAATATTTTTAATTCAGCAACATCTTAAAAATTCACAAAAATTTTTTTGTTCTCATTTTTGCATCAGTTGCCATTTACAAAAAAAGCCGTAGTTGGCGCCTAAAAGCCGGCTATACTATTTTATAAATTATTCTTATGCATTAAGCAATATGTTGCTAAGTAAAACGTTGCACTTTTATATCATTTAATTTTTTTAGTTTTAGCTTTACTTTTCAAGCTACAATCACTAACTCGCTTTAAGGTTTTGTTAATAAATATTTACATATATATATAATATTTACTCTACTGGGTCCATCATTTGTGCATTTGTTGCTTTGAGTTTCTACCACGCAGATCTAAGTACTAAATATATAGCATTGCAGTTGCATTGAAATAAAAAATAAAAATATTACCGAAAAGAAAAACGTGAATAGTAAGAATTCTAAAGATTTCCATGTGAGTGGTGAAATACAAGCAAATTGATTAGTAAAATATATGAAATTTTTCAAAGAAATTGAGAAAGAATTTTTTAAGTAGGCGTTGACAAGTTTAAACGAAATATTTTCAACAAAAAATCTAATTTAAACTTATTTTGGTTTTTAAAAATGTATCCGTAAAGGTATGGTAAGTTCACATCGCTTAAAATTTTATGTGTTAAACTAACCTTAAAATATTTTAGTTCTTGGCCACCAAACATAAAGTATATAGTAATTGTATATTTTAATATAAATGACTTTTTAATTCTTTGTCATAACCAATAACTATGAAATATAATATGATTTATAGGTCAATTGAAAATCTTTTTATGTTTACTAAATAAATTCTCTCTAATATTTAAACCGACTCATTATTTCTCCGCTCAAGGAACCCAAGCACATCCGGCAATAAAAAATGAACACTCTCACATATTTCTAAGCGCTTGATACAAAAGAAAAAAGGAAAAATACATATATGCAAATAAATATATTCTTTATAAGTACATATGTATGTGTCATATTACATTTTGTTGCATTGTATTTCCTCACATTTGTCATAAAAATCTAAATCAAGAAATAATATTTTTATTAGATTTCGTATTCAGAACATTGCCCCTGAGGAGATGTCAGCGAAAAAAATTGATTGACGCATGTCACACAAGAGCGTACACTGGTATTTTAAAGAGTAGATATAAAGTAGCGGAACAAATCATAAAAAATAACATTTCTGAATAAATGCACGTACGTAAAAATTTCGGAAATAGTAAAACAAATATAAAATTATATTCTCAGACGAAAACACGCTTATTATACTTTTTTTGGAGTTGGTATCTGGGCCTGTGGCATTGCCTCCAAGATAATGCGATTTAACGCCGCTGGATTATTTTTTGTGAGGTTATGTGAAGTCGCTTGCCTACGCAGTTAAACCCAAGTCAATTGACCTCTTGAAAGAGAACATTCGGCGCATTATTGCTGACATACGACCCCAATGGCGCAAAAAGTGGTCGAATAAACATCCACATTCCTCAAAAATAAACTTTGAACTTAATATATAAGAAATACAATTTTTATTCACGAAGTACTTAACTTTAATAGTATATATACATTTAAGAAGATTTCATATAATTTTCGTTAGCTCGACTCATTTATTTAAAAAGCGGAAATTTTTTTTAAGTTTTACCTCGTTAACTTATAAAGTTTTTAAATTTTTTTTCTCGGGACAATCCTTAGTTGCCTCTTAGTCTAGTCTTTTTCTTATTTCCTTACACTAAGAAATTCGTATATTTGGCGTTCTGCGGCAAATATAAATACATGAAAGCAATTAGTATAAAGAATTAAATAATGATATATAGATTGAGATTAGTTTGAGATCATTTTTCAGCTAACGAAGTTCGTGTTGAGAAAACATTCTCTGCAGTAATTTTGAACAAAAACATATTATTCGGAGAAATATTTTTAGTTACATCAAAGAGTTCGGAGTTTGACACGTTTATTTGTTCTTTCCAAATACATTAATTAATTTGAGATTTTTAACATTTAGTAAATTTGCATCACATTATGTACTCGATTGAAAAAACTGAAATCGTGCTAGCGCTGGTAATGCTTTACCGCTTGTATAATTGTAGCATGGTTTCAATTACATTTGCCGACTGATTTATTCTTGAATGAATGACGAATCACCTTTTTAGAAGGAGAGCGATGACATATATTTATACGTATATGCATAGCTGCGGAATTTGTTAAATAATACATACGCCTTTGTGAGTCTTCAAATAAGGACATAATACAAGTACACTACAACAACAGCAAACATAAACCCGAAAGAAGAAATGATGTGAAATGAAAATAGCATCTTTTCAGCTTAGCTAAGCAATGTAAATAACCCGAGGTCAAAACGTGAAAGAGGACAATCAAAATTTAGCTAACAAGCGAGAGAGTAAGTGAACCACACGTGCACTCACAGCACACATGAATACAAAATATCGTATGGTATTGCAAAAAATAAGGTATGCTGCTTCTTGTAGCCATAACAAAAAACAAAACAACCATAACTGAATTGGGCAAGCTCTAACGCATCTTAGGCGGCCTTTGCCAACGTTTTGTACTCGGCCGTAGAATTTGCCATAAAAAGGAGCTTGGGTGCTTTTGAGTGTATATATACCAATAAATGTATGTGTGTGAAAATAGGTTTGCAGCAACAAAAACGTAGAAGATACCGTATTAGAGTTGCCGGCATGCGGGTGACTGCTTATATTAGCTGTATATAGTATTTGCTAAAACTGCTCCAACTTTTAAAATTTATGTGTTTTTGACTTCCGTATTCTATGCCACCTACTTACAGCAGGAGTGCTGCGGCTGTAACGGCACATTCGTTTATATTCATACAATGCTGTTGCTGATAGGTAATATCTCAATAGCTAAGCCTGCGCGGTGGCAGTTTTTTTTCGCAATTTTTCAACGGTTAATGCGCAAGGAAACTTTACCTCGAAGCCGAAAGCCTTTTAGCATGCCTTTCAATTTATATGCTGTTATCACTAAGGATTAAAGGATTCAAGTTCCGCTGTATATCACATGTTATAGTCCGATTCTTAATTCTTAGGTAAATATTGTTATAAATTCTGAAAACATTATTCATCATTAAAACCATTAGGTGTATAATCTCCCCGAGCTCTGTACTATTACGGTAAAAGTTTAAAACCTTGAGGATTTTGAAATAGTAGTAAAAACTAAACGACTTTTTATTTATATTAGGATATTTTATTATATTTCAATAAATTGAGGATTTTTAAATTATATAAAATATATGGTCACTTTATATGAGAAACTATCATGTTTTTCTTTTAAAGAAAGCTGAGTAGTTTGGAGAGTTCAGTGTTGTTTAGTCTTAGTTATAATTACATCAACTTTCGAAGTATAATTTGTATAGGCTCAACATCTCACTGAATGCTGCTGTTGTAAGGGAAAGAAGGAGGCACTTACGAAAGCTATTGCGTATATGCAAACCAAACTTATAAGTCTACAGCAAGTCGCGAACGTTGAATGTTATAGCCAATAAGGGTAAATTCGAGTATTCAGTCCGGAGGAGGTACTGATTGAATGATTAAGCTGTCAGTAAACAACGCTGTTTCGTTTGGGAGGCTGATGGAAGATTCTCTGCTTATATGATCCAATTATATTCACAAATACTACTATATTGATCATACGACATTCGTTTTCGATATATGAGTATATTGTAATTTTAAATTAACAGATGACCAATGACAACTGACAGAAACCAATATCGTAAGTTTGAGTAGTGAGAAAATATCTCTTTCGTGTAGGTAATCAATGTAAGCTTGATCCGGCATGCCATCATTGAAGAGCGGGATTTGGTGATTTAAAGCTTGTAAGAATCTCATTTCGTAAGATAAAGTAAAAATTTCCATCACAGATAGAAGGAGAAGTAAGGCAAGTAGATCTAGTAAACATATTTACATATTTCTTACGTTGAACTTAAATCAGATTTAGTGGGGGTTTCATGCTATTCTTATGTTTTTGGGTTTCTAATTCAAAAATTTTGAGGATATTAAAAAAAAATTTTGTAAGAAATTTATATTTTTTTAAGGTTATGTTAAGACTAAGG